GTGGTGGCGCGGGAGGGCAGCAGTAGAATGGAGGTGTTGGACGGCCGCCCGGCGCCAGCAAGCCCGGATCCAAGTGACCCACAGTCACACCTCAACATGTAAGTTACTTCAGGTGTGGGGGGGGGGAATAAGGCTTCCTCGTCACCCTGGATTAATACACTATGTGAATTATTATTATAATCATGAGGGAGTGCTGAAACCATAGGATTATACAGCACATTGGGGGGGAGGGTTATGGAAGGCATTCAGACTCAGTACAGGGAATGGAGCACAGATCCAATTCCCTAGATCAAGAGCCCCTCATCAGCATCAAGGAACCTCCCTTGAGGGGACTCCATGTGAAGTGTAACATAGCTGACAGGTATTAAAAAAAAAAAAGACAGTAATAAACCTCTTTTAGAACGAAGTTCCTGCTTCAGGCTTCAAAACTAACATGTATGCAATATACTGCTGAAAAGTGGTGGTGATGTAACGTTGTATGAGATGCTTCAAGGATTTTCTGACAAACCTTAACTTTTAGCTAAAATACGTAGTAAGTGAAAAAACAATATGATTAGGCTTACTTTTCTCATGCAATGCAATTGTAGCAGCAGTCTCAATTAGAAGACCATTGATGCTTCTCCTCTGTACACATGATCCCATCTCCCACATGGGATACTGTAGTACTTACTTCAAAAACTGTAAAAAAAAAAAAAATCACCAGGACTTCCCATCCCGCTATGAACAGTTACATTAGGGGTTTAAGTATCCTTTGTGGGAGATGTAATCGCGTGTACACAGAAACAGCGATGGACTTAGAGACCCAACCACAAGAACACACGTGTCAGTATGTGGATGGATGACACATGGAATACGTGTAGGATACATATAAATATGAACACATTTCATGAACTTCAAATATGCCCACGTTTTATACCACTCCTGAATCAGCAGCCTTGCTTGTCTCCATCATCACAAAAACTGGGGCAAAAAACATTACAGCAAACCCATCGCTAAAACTATTCTGAGAAGTGAAAAACAAAAATTACCAGGACCGTACCTTGTGATTCATACCACATACATTATCTGACCTTGTGATTCATACCACATACATTATCTGACCTTGTGATTCATACCACATACATTATCTGACCTTGTGATTCAAGGAACATACATTGCCTGGCCTTGTGATTCAAGCCTTATACATTACCTGACCTTGTGATTCAAGCCACATACATTACCTGGCTTTGTGATTCAGACCACATACTGTACCTGACCTTGTGATTCAGACCACATACATTACCTGACCTTGTGATTCAAGCCACATACATTACCTGGCTTTGTGATTCAAGCCTTATACATTACCTGACCTTGTGATTCAAGCCTTATACATTACCTTTGTGATTCAGGCCACATACAACATTATCAGATCCTTGTCAGTCAGGCCACATACATTACCTGACCTTGTGATTCAGACCACATACATTACCTGACCTTGTGATTCAGGCCACATACAACATTGCCTGACCTTGTGAATCAGGCCACATACAACAGTACCTGACCTCACCTTGACACTGCCTAATAGGTTGCCTCACCTACAATGAATGGGACATCTTCACCCAGCACTTGACTCCTCCATCTCTCAGCACCATATTTTTTTTTTATTATTCGCCGGTATTCTCCCGGCCCGGGTCTTTTCCAAGTAGTGGTAACCCGGCCTTGGCTCCCTATCTGGGGAGTGTCTCGAGACCTAAGTCTCCCATGGGAGGAGGTACAAGTACCCCCTCATCTCTGGGACCAACTGTCCCCAGGCCTAGCCACAGTCCCCGCCCTCACGGGGCTCGTAGGGAGAAGCTAGGCCTCTGGTCTGCCATCTGCCCCGCCCCAAAGGGGCTCGTGGGGATGGCAGTCTTATGAGCTGCAGGTGGTAGCAAACTCAGACCTTCACTAGGTATATATATCAGCACCATATATATGTCATTAGTTTTGATATTCTCTGTCCTTGATGAAGCCTCAAGTAGGCGAAACATTATACAGAAAAATAAAATGTCGTCCAGGTTATTAGGGAAATACTGTAATAGTATAAGGAGAATTAACAGTTATCTATTACACTAAGAAAATATGGGAAATAAAATTAAATCTAGGCAGCAAATACTGAGTTTCTCATCCTCTCCTCTTCCACACAAAATCCTAGCAGACCATCTCTCTCACTCGTCCAGCACAACACTCACTTGTCTGACCTCTGGCCAACCTCCACCTCCAGCACAACACTCACTTGTTTTAATGGGAACTTCAACTTAAGAATCCCATGGAACCTCTGGCAGTACACTTTGTTTCACCACAGTGGCTCGGGAATGGGAGATAATCAGTTTGATTAAAGGGAAAAATATCTTCAGCTCCATAGATCAAAAGCTCCAATATCAATATAGCACATAGCATTCCTCATATCTAAATGATTTTTCCGAGGGGAGGTCAATGCCCCAGCATCCCAGTCCCAGACCAGGCCTCATGGAGGATCAAGACCTGATTAACCAGACTGTTACTACTGGCTGCACACAGCTCAACATACGTATATACCTCAGACTGGCTGGTCAAGCACTGATTTGAGGAACTTGTCCAGTTCTCTCTTGAAGACTTCCAGAGGGTTGTTGATAATTTCTTTCATGAACAGTGTTATCCCTGACACTCATCGAATTCTTAGTGTACTTTTCACACCCCGGTTTTTCAGTGCAGATATTTCGCACTATCTGCCAAGTCTCTTGTTGTACTGAGTGATATCAGTGGCATACAGCAGTGAAGGTTCTCTTGAGATTTTCAAGCTCAGCAGTACTTCCTGCCTGGAAGGAGCCCATCGGTATACAGCGAACAACTGAATTAATGAGTATCACCATTGGCTCAAGATCGCTTCTCCTGAAAGTTCTAGTTATTCAGCCTCTCAATTTCCTTGCGGTAGTAGTGGCAACATTATTAGGCTCCTTGAATGTGAGATCTTCTGGCATCATTACTCCTAACTCTTGCACATGGGACTTAGCATTTGTCCTGTACTCCATTGCAGTTTTCCATAGGAAGCAATTAAAACTTTTCCACGTTAAACATCCTACTGTTGTCTGAGGTCCACTGGAAGACCCGAGTTACACTCACTTGACATTTCTGTGTCTTTGACAGCTGCCACCTGCGTATTCTGGTATCATCAGCAAAGGATGTGTCAGTGCTACAATTTGTCCTCAATGTATGCCAGATAAAATAATTAAACAGAAATGGGAGTAAAGCACCTTAAGGAGCAAAGCTTTTCACTGTGCCAGCCTCTGACTTTACTCTGTTTATTACCGCTACTACTATGGGTTTTATTTAAGAAGTTAAAAATCCATCTGCCCACTTTTCCAGTTATTTCTTCTGCACACATTTTTGTGTGCAACCACACCATAGTCATACTTATCGAATGCTTTGCAAAATCAGTGTATAAAGGTATACACTACATCAACATTTAGCTTGTCTTCCGGAGCATCCAAGGCCACATTGTAATGATCTAGCAAATGATTACAGAAAAAAAGAAAACATTACATTCATGGGGGAAGCATTAAATCCAGAGGTGTCATACATCACCTGGGAGGCAATAAGTGCAATGTATGGAAGAGGTCAGATCAAATTCCTTTGATCAAGAGCCCCTCACCAGCACCAAGGAGCCTCCCTTGAAGGGATTTCACCAGTCACACAATCATCATTCTGAAATGCAGGAAATAAATTTTAATGTACATTTAAAAGCTTTTAAGCTGTTCATCAAGGATAATTTAAAAAAAAGTCATATGTTCTTTTTTCTTAGGTGAAGGTCAGGCTTGGTTAATCAGATTGACTTGTGTAATTTTGCCATGCTCACCTTGATGTGTCCAGATGTTGAGCTGCATATCAATTAACCTGCAAGTCATACTTTAATATGCATGTCATGTTTTTATTGTGTATTTTTTTGTACAACTTGAAATAATATCATTACATAAACTACTTACTAGTTTTGTCACAGTACTGTGCAAGGCATGTTACACACATCATACCTCCATATCCATGGCAGGCTTTCAGTGTTTTCCTGTTCTTGCAACCTAGCCTGAGGGCAGACTTCTGTACTGACTTTTAGGTCAGCCAGGCTGTTGCTGCTAACAGCCTGCAGGCTTGACTTGCAATTGCAGCCTGGCTCATCAGGTACCTTAAGCAGGTAGTAGTAGTCCAGTTTCCTCTTGAAAATTTTTAATAAGTTCTAGCAGTATTTCTTATATCCAAAGTTCACTACTGTATTTGTAGGTAATTGAGCCATGATGGTAACACCTAAAGACAAAAATATCCAAATACTGTGAGATTAATTGACATACATGTATATATGATATGTTTGAATATATTACACATATTACTACAGTGGACCCCCGGTTAACGATATTTTTTCACTCCAGAAGTATGTTCAGGTGCCAGTACTGACCGAATTTGTTCCCATAAGGAATATTGTGAAGTAGATTAGTCCATTTCAGACCCCCAAACATACACGTACAAACGCACTTACATAAATACACTTACATAATTGGTCGCATTCGGAGGTAATCGTTATGCGGGGGTCCACTGTATTAATAAGTATGAAATAAATATATAAATATATATGGGCTTGGACATCCAACAGGTTTGTGTAAGCATGTTAGACAGGAGGGAGTGAAGGCAAGTGGTCTTTATAACCTGATGTGCTGTTGGAGTGTGAGCAAGGTGACATTTATGAAGGGATACTGGGAAACCAGTCAGCAAGCCCTGGAGGTGGGAAGTACAGTGCCTGCACCTTGAAGGTCGGGCAGGGAGGGGGTCTTGTAGTTTGAGGGGTCATCTGAACCATGATGTTGATACCCTTCTGGCAAGACAGTGACTGAGTGAGTGACATGAAAGTGTTTTCTTCTTTGTTGGGTCGCCCTAGCTAGATGGAAGACAGCCAGTATAAATATATAAAATAAATAAATAATACATACAGTGGAACCTCAAATATTGAACTTAATCCGTTCCAGGAGCTAGTTCTAAATTCGAAAAGTCCGAAAAGCGAAGCAATATTTCCCATAAGAAATAATGGAAATGCAATTAATCCGTTTCAGAAACCCAA